TGATGATGATGATGATGGCGGTGGTGGTGATGACGATGATGATGTTGCTGCTGCTGCTGATGATGATCATGCTGATGATGATCATGATGGTGATGCTGATGGTGTTGATGATGAGGATGATGCTGCTGCTGGTGATGATGGTGATGGTGATGGTAATGGTTATGCTCATGCTTTTGCTGATGATGCTGCTGTTGACGATGATGATGATACTGCTGCTGATATTGATGATGCTGCTGCTGTGATGATGATGCTGATGATGATGCTGCTGATGATGATGCTCACGATGATGATGATGATGATGATGATGAGGATGAGGATGATGATGATGATGACGATGATGATGATGACCATGATAATGCTGGTGATGCTGCTGATGATGACGATCACGATGACCACGATGATGATGTCGTTGATGATGATGCTGATGATGCTGCTGATGACGATGGTAATGATGCTGGTGATGATGCTGCTGCTGATGATGATGCTACTATTGATGATGCTGCTGATGTTGATACTGACGATGGTGATTCTGATGATGATGATGATGCTGATGATGTTGCTGATGTTGATAATGATGCTGCTGCTCATGCTGATGACGGTGGTGATGATGATGATGGATGATGATGATGTTGCTGATGTTGATACTGATGATGATGAGTATGATGATGATGTTGCTGATGTTGCTGATGTTGATAATGATGCTGCTGCTCATGCTGATGACGATGGTGATGACGATGGTGATGCTGATGATGCTGCTGCTGCTGCTGATGATGACGATGATGATGATGATGATGATGATGATGATGATGATGATGGGTGATGATGATGCTGATGATGATGATAAGGAGGAGGAGGAGGAGGATGCTGATGATGATGATGATGATGATGATGATGATGATAATGATGATGATGATGATGATGATGATGATGATGATGATGATGATGATGATGATGATGATGATGATGATGATGATGATGATGATGATGATACTGGTGATTGCTGCTCCTGCGCAACCTGATCCGTGTCCCCCTGCCGTCGACCGCTGTTGCCCGAGCGTTGATCTTGGGGGCTCGAGGGTGACCAGAGGGCAACAAAACGTGACGTCCGTTCTGCGCGGGAGGCTCTCAGAACTGGCCCCCGGACCTCCCCTCCGAATGTTGCTAGAAGTGCCCGTGGCCCGCGGTGCCCCCAAGCTTCTCGCCCCATTCTGAAGCCCCAGGGGCCCTCTGTGACTCGTGAGGGTTGCTCTGGAGGCCGTGGGCGTCCCAGCAAGCTCTGGTCGACTCCAGCGCCGCTCCGAGACGCTCCGAGATGCCTCCCCGGAGGCGCCCTGGAAGCTCAGCAGCCTCCCCCTCGCGCCCACGCTGGCCCAAGACACTCCAACACGCGCCGGCAGGAGCGTCTGAGGAGGGGAAAAAGAGGCATTTCCTCGGGAAAACGAGCCACTTTCAAGTTCCTGCTGACGAGGTTCCCTGCCAGCTCCCGGTGCGTGCTTCTCCCCGCGCCCTCGCGTTCTTTTCGGTTGCCTCGGGCCCCCTGTCCGGCCCTTGAAGCTCAGCAGCCTCCCCCTCGCGCCCACGATGGCCCAAGACACTCCAACACGCGCCGGCAGGAGCGTCTGAGGGGGAAAAAAAGAGGCATTTCCTCGGGAAAACGAGCCACGACGAGGTTCCCTGCCAGCTCCTGGTGCGTGCTTCTCCCCGCGCCTTCGCGTTCTTTTCGGTTGCCTCGGGCCCCCTGTCTGGCCCTTCTGGCGCCTCGGGGCCCTCTTCCGGTCCTCCGCGGCCTCCTCCGGGCTCTCTTAGAAGATCTCAGACGCTTCGAAGACAGTCCGAGAGAGGCCTGGGAAGGCCCCACCAGGGGCTGGGCACTGTTCGTTTTGAGCGCCCCTCAAAACGAACACCTGGAAGCTCTGTTTTGTTCCGTCCTGGCGCCCTCGAGGCATCTCCCGAGACGGCCTTGAAACCGCGAGGAGCCCCACCACGACGGCCTTCAAGCCGGGAGGACCTTCCCAAAGGAGCCCAAGACGGCCTCGAAACCGCGAGGAGCCCCACCACGACGGCCTTCAAGCCGGGAGGACCTTTCCAAAGGAGCCCAAGAAGATCTCAGACGCTTCGAAGACAGCCCGAGAGAGGCCTGGGAAGGTCCCACCAGGGGCTGGGCACTCTTCGTTTTGAGCGCCTGGCGGCAGACGCCGTCACCCCGCAAGTGGACGTAGTCCACGGGTCAGCCCTAGTCAGCTGCAGCGCTGGGATCAGCGCGTGCGAGAGCGGCGAGCAGTGGCAGCGGGCCCTGGCGCTGCTGAGCGAGATGAGGGAGGCGAAGCTGGAGCCCAACGTCATCAGCTTCAATGCTGGGATCAGCGCGTGCGAGAGCGGCGAGCAGTGGCAGCGGGCCCTGGAGCGCAGCTTCAATGCTGGGATCAGCGCTTTCGAGAACGGCGAGCAGTGGCAGCGGGCCCTGGCGCTGCTGAGCGAGATGAGGGAGGCGAAGCTGGAGCCCAACGTCATCAGCTTCAATGCTGGGATCAGCGCTTTCGAGAACGGCGAGCAGTGGCCAGCTGAGCCGAAGCTTCATCAGAGGGAGCGCGGCGAGAGCAGTGGCAGCAAGCCGAAGCTGGCTGCTCAGCGTGCGAGCATGGCAGCGGGCCCTGGAGCTGCGTGGAGGCGAAGCTGGAGCCCAACGTCATCAGCTTCATGCTGGGAATCAGCGCTTTCGAGAACGTGCGAGCAGTGGCAGCGGCCCTGGCGCTGCTGAGCGAGATGAGGGAGGCGAAGCTGGAGCCCAACGTCATCAGCTTCAATGCTGGGATCAGCGCTTTCGAGAACGGCGAGCAGTGGCAGCGGGCCCTGGCGCTGCTGAGCGAGATGAGGGAGGCGAAGCTGGAGCCCAACGTCATCAGCTTCAATACTGAGGATCAGCGCTTTCGAGAACGGCGAGCAGTGGCAGCGGGCCCTGGCGCTGCTGAGCGAGAGGAGGGAGGCGAAGCTGGAGCCCAACGTCATCAGCTTCAATGCTGGGATCAGCGCGTTCGAGAACGCGAGCAGTGGCAGCGGGCCCTGGCGCTGCTGAGCGAGATGAGGGAGGCGAAGCTGGAGCCCAACGTCATCAGCTTCAATGCTGGGATCAGCGCGTTCGAGAACGGCGAGCAGTGGCAGCGGGCCCTGGCGCTGCTGAGCGAGATGAGGGAGGCGAAGCTGGAGCCCAACGTCATCAGCTTCAATGCTGGGATCAGCGCTTTCGAGAACGGCGAGCAGTGGCAGCGGGCCCTGGCGCTGCTGAGCGAGATGAGGGAGGCGAAGCTGGAGCCCAACGTCATCAGCTTCAATGCTGGGATCAACGCGTGCGAGAGCGGCGAGCAGTGGCAGCGGGCCCTGGCGCTGCTGAGCGAGATGAGGGAGGCGAAGCTGGAGCCCAACGTCACCAGCTTCAATGCTGGGATCAGCGCTTTCGAGAACGGCGAGCAGTGGCAGCGGGCCCTGGCGCTGCTGAGCGAGATGAGGGAGGCGAAGCTGGAGCCCAACGTCACCGAGCTTCAATGCTGGGATCAGCGCTTTCGAGAACGGCGAGCATGCAGCGGGCCCTGGCGCTGCTGAGCGAGATGAGGGAGCGAAGCTGGAGCCCACGTCATCAGCTACAATGCTGGGATCAGTGCTTGCGAGAAGGGCGAGCAGTGGCAGCGGGCCCTGGCGCTGCTGAGCGAGATGAGGGAGGCGAAGCTGGAGCCCAACGTCATCAGCTTCAACTGCTGGGATCAGCGCTTCGAGAACGGCGAGCAGTGGCAGCGGGCCCTGGCGCTGCTGAGCGAGATGAGGGAGGCGAAGCTGGAGCCCAACGTCATCAGCTTCAATGCTGGGATCAGCGCTTTCGAGAACGGCGAGCAGTGGCAGCGGGCCCTGGCGCTGCTGAGCGAGATGAGGGAGGCGAAGCTGGAGCCCAACGTCATCAGCTTCAATGCTGGGATCAGCGCTTTCGAGAACGGCGAGCAGTGGCAGCGGGCCCTGGCGCTGCTGAGCGAGATGAGGGAGGCGAAGCTGGAGCCCAACGTCATCAGCTTCAATGCTGGGATCAGCGCGTCGAGAACGGCGAGCAGTGGCAGCGGGCCCTGGCCTGCTGAGCGAGATGAGGGAGGCGAAGCTGGAGCCCAACGTCATCAGCTTCAATGCTGGGATCAGCGCTTTCGAGAACGGCGAGCAGTGGCAGCGGGCCCTGGCGCTGCTGAGCGAGATGAGGGAGGCGAAGCTGGAGCGCAACGTACTCTTACCTGCATTGCAGGGGTACCTGCGTGCGAAAAGGGGAGCCAGCGTTGAGCGTGGACCGCATTCTTTAGAAACTTGTGAGTACGGCTGGCGCGGATGCCGCTCTTCTGCTCTCCCTGAGAGGGTACGGAGTCTGCGTCTGAATCTGGGCGGGTGCTGGGAGCAGCCTTGAAGAACTGTGCAAAGTAGGCACTCCTGATACGATCCAGATGAGGTCTCGCGCGCGAGCTGCTTTTTTTGTGATCAAGCTGTAGACAAGCCGTGAGCGGGAGTCCCCCTCCGGTTCTCGCAAAGGGTGGGTCAGGAAGTAGGGTTTGAATCTTGCTGGGGTTCGAAACATGTGTGAATACGCGGCACGTTCTGGAAATGGCCTCGCCTTCGTTGCCGTGGAGGGCCTGCGGAAGAGAACGGCGGTGGATCCGACGGCATAAGCTCGGTGGAAGCTCGGCGGAAGGCGGCGGAAGGAACAGCGAGGCGTCGGTCAACATTTTTGGTCCCAGGGTTTCCGGAACTGGCTATGTGTAAGCACATGCGACCAATCTAGCAGGAATCAGGTCTGGCATTCGGAGTTCGTGCATCGTCAATTTTTTCCATGTGGGGTCCTGCCGCCGATTTTTCAGCGAGGGTCTAGCGCACCTCAGGGCCCGACGGCAGGCATCAGTCGAATGCTTGTCGGCTGGTTGGCTAGTTCAACGCGTACAGGCATTATCCAGATCCGCTGCAGCAAGTATTCCGTATCCAGTTCTGCTCAAAGCGCCCTGGCTGAACCAGTTTTGGCGACGCCTTCTCGTCGAGCGGTAGGTACGTACGAGTTCCAAAGCCGTCGGGATGGCTGCACAACCCCAGGGATGTTTTATCAAGCTTTATTGCGATGACGGCAAAGAAGAAGAATACGAACTTCACAGCATTCACTACAAGCTTCATCCTACCGGTGTCGCGGTGTGCACTTTTAATACACCTAAAAACATGAATTGCCTGGCCATTAACCAGCAATGGGAGATGTTCGCACTACTCGACCATATGAGAAGGGATGGCGATGTGAAAGTAGCAATATGGACAGGTTCGGGTAAAGCATTCAATGCTGGTGCAGATCTACGTGGTGATGGCACAATATACGTACCGAAGCATGCTCGGAAGAGTATGTTGGCACGTGGGATGGGACCAGTGCAAGGTGATTTTGTTTTGAAGCCGCACACGATAGCATTTTGGGATTTCCCCAAGCCGTCGATCTGTGCTGTGAATGGATTGGCTGTTGGCGGTGCTGCAAACATGGCACTTACCAATCAGCACGACTTGGTAATCTGCTCTACAGATGCGCGGTTCATGTATCCGTTTCCCAAGCTGGGTTTCACGCCCGAGCTCGGGAGTTCTTATATGCTTCCGTACCTGATTGGCCTAGCTAGAACGAAGGAAGTGTTTTACCTTAGTGACTGGTTTAGTGCCGAACAGGCGAAGGAGTGGGGTCTAGTTAACAAGGTCGTCGCCCCAGACCAATTGCTGCCTGAGGCAATGCAACTTGCAGAGCGGTTGTGCCTGCTGCATCCCGCCGCGGTCCAGCAATCCAAGAAGATCCTCAATTCTCATATTCGTAGCAAGCTCGAGCAGATTCTCGATGATGAGTCGGCAGTGATCAATGCCAGCCTGTTGGCAACGGGCGGGCCGCCGCAGGTTGGGAAGTACATGAAGAAGCAAGACGAGTTGATCAAGCAACTGAAGGCGAAGCTGTAGTGGCAGGTGGACGTCTGCCCTGGAAATGTGACCTGCCGAATCCGCCTGGGCGATAACAGAGGATGAAGCTACTGAGGGCGGTATTGCAGTGAGGGCTGCACGCTTGTCCTTGATGTGCCGAGTCGAAGCCTCTATCCTTGCAGAGGTGGTGCTGCAGTGCCTACCGTCGTATGGGCAGTCGGGTTCGTTTCAAGAGCGCTCTCTGGATTTTCCATCGTCCCCTTTCCATGAAGCACTGCCATCGGCATCGCGAACCGTCGCATCGGAACAAGAGCGACGCGCGTCGGCAAGCATGAATACTGTCCAACGTATGGAGCACGGACCACGTTGGTTTCGGATTGGGGCTCGGGGTATCTGGGGTTAGGCCCTTGCCCTTGCTTTCCCCGGGCGCTTCTCGCCAACTTGAGCGCAACTGGGGCCAGACATCAGTCTTGTTCCCTTTGGACCTGGGAGGGTTCCGTATGGCACAGCTTTGCCGCATTGACATTTTGGCCATTGGCGGATGGAGCGGCGCAGAGGGGGTCATGGCCTCTTCCTCCGAGGCCGAGGACGAGGCAGCGGAGGAGGAGGAGGAGGAGGAGGAGGAGGAGGAGGAGGAGGAGGAGCAGGAGGATGAGCATGACGAGGAGCAGCAGGAGCAGGACCCATCCCTTCTTGGTAACCTCGTCCTCCTCCTCCTAATCATCCCACCTCCTCCTTCTCCTGCTCCCATTCTCCTTCTCCTCCACCACTTACATGCCACCTCTCATCTCCTCTCTCTCTCTCTCTCTCTCTCCTTTTCCAGTGTCTCCGCTTCACTCTTCCAATCTCTGATCGAAAGAGCTGCTGAAAGGAACCGTATATGATCCTGGTCCACCACCCCGCCTCACCACTGGGCGCTAGTTTAAGTGGCCAGGGTGAAATTATCTCAAATCCCGGCGGCCAGGGACGGTCCCCCCTGAGCAGTTGTCGTCTTCTCTGCTTCGCAGGAGTTTTCACACAGGGCTCTAACAAGTGCCAGGGGGGGGCGTACAGTAAGCCCCACACCTCAGGGACACGAACACAGGCAAGGAACTGTTCATGATCTTGGCAACATGCAGGGTGTGTGGGCTGGGGGCCACGACCTCAGATGTAAGAGAGCGCGTTCAAATGGGTCAGGGTCGCACAGGACCACTCTGAGTAGTTAGTGTCGAATGCACGGGCACAGCCTATGCAATGCCATTTGAGCCCGTTTCAGTGGGGCCTGTGGGCCTTCCGGCCCGAGGGTAAAACCAGGGGCCGTGGGGCCCCAGGGGTCCGATCGAGTTTACCGACAGCCAGCAAGGAGTACTCGCCATGCCTACCGCCAAACAACAAGACCTGCTCAGTTCAAGCTCGTGCTTGACGCTATTCTGGGCCTTCTCGGGATGCAGTTTCGCTCCGTCATCTGTTCGCTCATCTGCTGTACCATTACGGTAGGTTCGTGTTGTGTCGACCGGCGGCGACCCCGCCAGCGGCGATCATCTTTGAACGCCGCGGGCGACCCAGAATCGTCCGATGTGGAACGATTTGGACGTTTCGGAAACGGCCGATTGTTCAAGGTTGAACGATCCCAGCGGTGTCAGAAACCAACGCCGAAGTCGGCACGACACGAACCTGATGAACCATGACGTATCTCCCCACCTGGGTGACCAAGAGGAGGAGGAGGAGGAGGAGGAGGAAGAGGAGGAGGGGAAGGAGGAGGAGGAGGAGGAGGAGGAGGAGAGGAGGAGGAGGAGGAGGAGGAGGAGGAGGAGGAGGAGGAGGAGGAGGAGGAGGAGGAGGAGGAGGAGGAGGAGGAGGAGGGAGGAGGAGGGAGGAGGAGGGAGGAGGAGGAGGGGGAGGAACACCAGCTGCCTCGTCTCCAGCCTGTGCCCTCGCCTGGCCCAACGTCCACTCGTGGGCACCCTCGAGGGAAGAGAGCTTCTCCAAACCTCGCTGCGCAGTGATTTCCCGCTCGCCTCCAGCCACTTGTCCTGTGGGCCTGGGCAGAGGGCCTGACAGTCAACGTGCAATCTGAGCGTACCCGCTCCTCCTCCCTCCTCCTCCTCCTGCTCCTCCTCCTCCTCGTCCTCGTCCTCGTCCTCCTCCTCCTCCTCCTCCTCTTCCTCCTCCTCCTCCTCCTTCTCTCCTGGCTCGAAATGCTCCACGGCCTGGAGCAAGGCACAGTGCTCATCATAAGCAGCAATCTGGGGCAAAACACAAGGAGGGCTCCGCAGAAAGCTCTGACAAATCCCCCGGAGTCATTGCTCGGAACCGCCGCCCACACCGCTCGGGCAACCTTGACACGGGTAGGGGCGTGGCAGCTCCCGTCATGCTTCAAGCTTGCACATGCTGGTTTCCCCCGACCTGTCCAATACTACTTCGCGACTCCATCCGACGAAGCGTCGATGAGGCCATTTGGGTTCGCAGGCTAGAGATTTGCATAGGTCGTCCCCGGCTGCCTCCAGCGCCTCACGAACCCGTTCGTCGCCGAGGCTCTCGACTCGCTTCTCCTCCGAGTCGGCGCAGGCGAAGCATCTGTGCCTGAGTCCTGCGTTCCTCCCTGGCGGAGAGCGGCAAAACGGTTCCCTCTCCCCTCTCTCCGTCTTCCCACTCCTCCTCTTCCTCCTTCTCCTCCTCCTCCTCCTCTTCGTGCTTCTTGTTCTTCTTCTTCTCCTTCTCCTTCTCCTTCTCCTTCTCCTCGTCTTCCTCCTCCACCCCCCGTTCCCTCTCCCTCACCCTCTCTCTCTCTCCCTCGTCGTCGTCGTCGTCGTCTTCGTCGTCTTCGTCGTCTTCGTCGTCGCCAGCGTCGTCGTCGTCGTCGTCAGCGTCGTCGTCGTCGTCGTCACCAGTGTCAGCGTCAGCGTCGTCGTCGTCGTCCTCATCGCCAGCCTCGTCCTCGTCCTCGTCCTCGTCCTCTTCCCTATTCCTCCTCTCGTGCCCTCTCTCGTCGTCGTCCTCCTCTTCTTCGTCTTTTTCTTCTTCTCGTTCTTCCTCCGTCCTCCTCCTCCTCCTCCCTCCTCCTCCGTCCTCCTCCGTCCTCCT